TGCCAACAAACAGAAGAAAACATGACGCAACTGAATGAACAGTAAAACACAGTGATCAACCGCATGCCTTGTCTAAACTTCATCTAGTGAGGTTTGTCTTTCACAAGGAATATTTGTACAAGAAATGAGTTAGAGATAGGAAGGGAGAGAGATAATCACATCTAAGGAGTTGATCAAAGAGTCCATCAGACTTTGGAAAGATGGAGCAATAATCTCCAGATTATTATATCTGGCAGATCACAAATCAGCCAGATAGCTGCCTAGCATCTGAATGAACAAAGAACAATGGATGGGGGAAACCTGGAGAGCAGTGGGAAGAGCATGTGCATCCAGATGGCTTACTGAGAACATGCCCTGAACCATGGTCATTGATTTAGGAGAGCTGGAGACACCTGGAGGATGAGGGACAGACACCAAATACCCAGCAGGTAGATGCTGGGCATTAGTCACAGGGCATTGGCTCTGGCACCACTGTCTGTGTCCCTGTACCTGAAGGCATCTGTGTCCTGCAAACACAGTTCTGGAAAATATTGAGATTAATAAATAAATAGATAAATAAATAAATAGATAAATAAATAAATAAATAAAGTAAGTAAGTAAGAAGAAGGAGAAGGAGAAGGAGAAGAAGAGAGATAACAAAACAGGACTACTGTTTTCAGACTAAAGAGAGAAGACTTAGGAGAATACTAGAAATTGAGAAGTGTGCTAACATATTGTTATGGATTTGAATGTTTGTCTTCAATCCTCCTCTCCTCTCCTCTCCTCTCCTCTCCTCTCCTCTCCTCTCCTCTTTTGTTTTTCAATTTTACTGACATTAATGAACATGTGCCTGCCATAATTTCCCTTCCCAGAACTGTCCACGACATCTCTCAGTCTTTGCATGGATGGAGTTACACTGTGGTACTGAGCTCATTTCTTATTTCTCAAATATTGTTTTAGATGGTCCAGTGCAGCACAGGAGGCTTCAATGCCCTCCATGCCTTTCATGCCAGGTACCCTGCCCCATTCTACTGTGGGTCCACATTGACCCAAGCGATCCTTGTGCTGCCTATGTATTTCTACAAGCCTTTATTGTATTTGATATGCCTGGGCAGATTCAGCTGTGTTTGAGCTTTGGCCTTCTTAAACACATCTCAGCAGATACACTGGGACAAAGTCTCTGCATTGCTCCCAGCTGACCACTTCTTGTTTACACTTCCTATAAGCTTTCTTTCCATACTGTACATCACAGACAGTTGAAGAATCTAAGGTGTGCTCTCCTGAAGCCCAAAGGTGTGAGCTTGTCTTTTGCCCTCCCTTTGGACTCCTCAGCTCCACCACGCCATGGCCACTGCAGCCCAGGTTCTCTTTGACCTTCACATTCCTCACAACCCTTGCCTTGCCAGTGAGTATGAGATCTGAGACAGCCAGCACGGTTTCACCAGAGGAAGGCTTCCAATATGGGAGCCTTCTGTGATGGAGTGACAGCATTGGTGGACAAGTTAAAGGCGACCAGTGTCATTTACATGGACTTGAGCAAGGCCTTGGACATGGTCCCCCACCACATCCTTATCTCCAAATTGGAGGGATGTGGATTTGATGGATGGACCACTCAATGAATAAGAAATTGGTTGAAAGGCTGCAGACCACCACCCGAGAGTGCTGAGGGAACTGACGGAAGTGATAGCTGAGCCGCTTTCCATCATCTGTCAGCGCTCCTTGTTGACTGGTGAGGTCCCAGAAGACTGGAGGCTTGCCAGTGTGACTCCCATTTACAAGAAAGCTCATAAGGAGGATCCAGGGAACTACAGGCCTGTCAGCCTGACCTCGGTGCCGGGGAAGGTTATGGAGCAGATTGTCTTGAGGGAGATCATGCAGCATGTGCAGGGTGACTGGGGGATCAGGCCCAGCCAGCATGGGTTCATGAAGGGCAGGTCCTGCTTGACCAACCTGATCTCCTTCTATGATCTAGTGACCCATCTGGTGGATGAGGGAAAGGCTGTTGATGTGGTCTACCTAGACTTCAGCAAAGCCTTTGACACTGTCTCCCACAGCATTCTCCTGCAGAAGCTGGCAGCCTGAGGCTTGGATGGGTGCACTCTTGGCTGGGTAAGGAGCTGGGTGGAGGCCCGGGCACAGAGAGTGGTGGTGAATGGAGTCAAATCCAGCTGGTGACCAGTCGTGAGTGGTGTTCCCCAGGGGTCGGTGCTGGGGCCTGTCCTCTTCAATATCTTTATTGATGACCTCGATGAGGGCATCGAGTGCACCCTCAGTAAATTCGCAGGTGACACCAAATTGGCTGGAAGTGTGGATCTGCCTGGGGGTAGCGAGGCCCTACAGAGGGATCTGGACAGGCTAGAGAGCTGGGCTGAAGCCAATGGGATGATTTTCAACAAGGCCAAATGCCGGGTCCTGCACTTCGGCTACAACAACCCCAGGAGACGCTACAGGCTTGGGGAGGTGTGGCTGGAGGACTGCATAGAGGAAATGGACCTGGGGGTATTAATTGATGCTGGGCTGAACATGAGCCGACAGTGTGCCCAGGTGGCCAAGAAGGCCAATGGCATCCTGGCTTGCATCAGAAACAGCGTTGCAAGCAGGAGCAGAGAGGTGATTGTTCCCCTATATTCAGCACTAGTGAGGCCGCACCTCGAGTGCTGTGTCCAGTTTTGGGCCCCTCACTGCAAGAAAGACATGGAGGCCCTGGAACGTGTTCAAAGGAGGGCAACAAAGCTGGTGAGGGGTCTGGAACACAGGCCATATGAGGAGAGGCTGAAGGAGCTGGGAATGTTCAGCCTGGAGAAGAGGAGGCTCAGGGGGGACCTCATTGCTCTCTATAACTTCCTGAAGGGAGGTTGTAGTGAGCTGGGGGTCGGCCTCTTCTCTCGTGTCATTAGTGATAGGACCAGAGGGAATGGTTTCAAGCTACGGTAGGGGAGATTCAGGCTGGACATTAGGAAGTATTACTTTTCAGAAAGGGTGGTCAGGCACTGGAATGGACTGCCCAGGGAGGTGGTGGAGTCACTGACCCTGGTGGTGTTCAAGGAAAGGCTGGATGCTGTGTTGAGGGACATGGTTTAGTGGGAGCTATTGGGAATAGGTGAACGGTTGGACTGGATGATCTTTTAGGTCTATGATCATGATTCTAGGTCATGATTCTATGATTCTATGATTCTACCAAGGGTGGTCATCAGTGGCTGTGCATCCAGGTGGAGGCCAGTAACGAGTGGCGTCCCCCAGGGCTCTGTCTTTGGACTGGTGCTCTTTAACATCTTTATCAATGACAGCGATGATGGAATCGAGTGCACCCTCAGCAAGTTTGCTGACGGCACCAAGCTGAGTGGTGTGGTTGACACGGCTGAAGGAAAGGGTGCCATTCAGAGGGACCTCGACAGGCTGGAAAGGTGGACCTGGGTGAACCTGATGAGGTTCAACATGGCAAAGTGCAGAGTTTTGCACTTGGGCGAGAGGAATCCCAGGCATCCATACAGGCTGGAAGGAGCGGTGCTTGAGAGCAGCCCTGCAGAGAAGGACCTGGGGGTCTTGATGGGTGAAAAACTGAACATGTGCCAGCAGTGTGCCCTTGCAGCTCAGAAGGCAAATGGTATCCTGGGCTCCATCAAAAGAGGGGAGGCCAGCAGGGACAGGGAGGTGATTGTCCCCCTTTATTCTGCTCTTGTGAGGCCCCATCTGGAGTACTACATCCAACTGTGGAGCCCCCAGTACAAAAAAGACAGGGAGTTGTTGGAGATGGTCCAGAGGAGAGCCATGAAGATGATCAGGGGACTGGAGCACTTCCCCTATGAGGACAGGCTGAGGGAGCTGGGCTTGTTCAGCCTGGAGAAAAGAAGGCTGCGGGGTGACCTCATTGCAGCCTTTCAATACCTAAAGGGAGCCTACAGAGGGGAGGGGAATCAACTCTTTGAAAGGGTTGATAACTGCAGGATAAGGGGAAATGATTTAAAGTTGAGGGAGGGGAGATTTAAGTTGGATTTCAGGGGGAAATTCTTTACAGAAAGAGTGGTGATGTACTGGAAAAGGCTGCCCAGAGAGGTTGTGGATGCCCCGTCCTTGGAGGTGTTCAAGGCCAGGTTGGATGGGGCCCTTGGCAGCCTGGTTTAGCATTAAATGTGAAGGCTGGTGGCCCTTCATGTGGCAGGGGGGTTGGAGATTGATGATCCCTGAGGTCCCTTCCAACCCTGGCCATTCTGTGATTCTGTGACAGCTGCAGGCTGTGCAGCTGGGGCTGCAGCCAGGTGTCCAGGGCTGTCCTGCAGAGCAGGTCCCTGCTGTGCCCTGGGGGCTGTCTGCCAGGGCAGGGACTCTGCCACCTGCCAGGCTCAGCACTCAGCCTGCCCGGGGAGCTGCCAAGGGAGCTGTGGGGAGACGTGTGGGGGGAAGGAGCCCCCCAGCAGGGCAGGGGCCTTCTGCTGCCACAGCTGCTGCCTGGGGCAGGGGGATCATAGCTACACTGCACCACAGGGTGTTTCCAAGGGTACTTTGCAGGAGGAGAGACAGGGCAGGGATTTTCCATTTCCTTTTCTTAGGGAAGGGAAAAGTGTTGGAGGCAGAAATCTGAAAGGAACTTCCCACTTCCCACGTGAGATACGAGGAACCCCAAATAGTAACTTTCTCCATCTGCTGTTGTATGAACAATCTCCTAATGTGCTTTCAGCCTCTCCTTTCCCAAAGGACAACACCAGCTAAAATTACCATCATTTTCTACAGACATGAATAATGCACTTATCCTGCAAACAGGCAGCTTTCTCTAACAGGAAGTGCACAGAGGTTGAGTGCTCAGAAAGCAGAAAGGGTAAATACATATGAGATGTGGAAATAGCTACTAAGAGGAATATTTGCTGGTGGCTGAGATATGGTTAGAAAAAGAGAAGAAAGTAAGAGCTCCTTATGCTTCTACTTCTTAATAGATGCTGAAGAAATGGAATTAAGCTTGAGTTATGGAATGAAATGAACTTCTATAGTGTAGTGGGAGGAGTGTCTCTGAGAATGCTCTTGACTTGTCATTATCTTCTGGACTCTACACAGGTCTCCATGCCCAGGAACAGCAGATGCCCAACAGCAGCTCCATCAGCGAGTTCCTCCTCCTGGCACTGGCAGACACGCGGCAGCTGCAGCTCCTGCACTTCTGGCTCTTGCTGGGCATCTACGTGGCCGCCCTCCTGGGCAACGGCTTCATCAGCACAGCCGCAGCCTGCGACCGCCGCCTGCACACCCCCATGTACTTCTTCCTCCTCAACCTCGCCCTCCTCGACCTGGGCTTCATCTCCACCACTCTCCCCAAAGCCATAGCCAATATTCTCTTGGAAACCAGGGACATCTCTTATGCAGGATGTGCTGCACAGGTCTTCTTTTTAGCATTCTTATTTTCTGCAGAATTTTTTCTTCTCACCATTATGTCCTATGACCACCGCATTGCCATCTGGAAGCCCCTGCACTACAGGACCTTGATGGGCCGCAGGGCTTGTGCCAGCATGGCAGTAGCTGCCTAGGGCACTGGGATTCTCTGTTCCCTGATGCACACTATCAATACATTTTCTATAACTCTCTGTCAAGGCAATGCTATGCATCAGTTCTTTTGTGAAATGGCTCAGATCCTCAAGCTCTTAATATTCTTAATATTTTAATATTTACTATTCTTAATATTTTAATATTATTTTAATATTTGGTTCTTAATATTTTAGGTATGTTTGATTTTTTGTTTGAGTGTGTAACTGTGATACAATAATCTGTAAAAAACAGTTGCAATTTTTTCCACTTCTTCTTTCCCATCTACTTTCTGTTTCCTCACACCAGGAGCTCATGTAAACATGAAACCAGGTTCCCTGAATAGGTTGAAAGATTCCTAAAAAGTTTTTAAAAATACTTTCTCTTAGCTCTTATCTCTTCCTACCTTGTCTGGATCTGAGGAGGTGCAGCCATGGACAGCAGCACAACGCGCTCTTTTCATTCCTGGTCTCATTACACTGCCACACTGCTCTCAAGTCCTTGCATCTGTGCAGACCTGAAGATCTTGTATGTCTCACGACTGTGCTGTTGTCTCTACAGCAGCACTCTGGGGCTGCAGTCAGTAGTTGGCAATATGAATCACTGTGCTGGCCTCCTTGCTGGAACCGCCGTAACAAGAGAGGCTCTTCAGAGCAGGACCAGAGAACTGGAGGCCTCTTCCAAAACTAGTGTGAGGAATATACCTCAGGAGCTGCTCCCTGAGAAGATCTCGAGATCTTCTGGTGCTCTTCACTGTGTCATGGGGGCAGTTTCAGAGTCCCAAGGTGATCTGTTATGGCAGTATGGCAGTATGGCAGACTCATGGCAGTAATGTGGTTCAACATGGAAGGTGGCTCAGCACCACACGGTCGTTTGCTCAGTGCCCCCCTTCCCAGTGGAAGAGGGGAGAAAACTGAAATAAAACTACAAAGTCGAATCCGTGGGTTGAGATATTATTTAGTAAGACAGAGAAAAAGAAAAGGATAATAATTTTGACATATGTATTTATGCATATATGATATATATAGGAGATATTCACCTTTTGCCCAAGGAAGTTGTGGATGCCCCCTTCCTGGATGCATTCAAGGCCAGGCTGGATGTGGCTCTGGGCAGCCTTGTCTAGTGCTTGGTGACCCTGCACGTACCACAGGGATTGAAAGTGGATGATCACTGTGGTCCTTTTCAACCCAGACCAGACTGGGTCTAGGTTTATGATTCTATGATTCTACGATTCTATAGTTCTATGATATATATAAAGATGCAGTAACAAACATATATGCATAGCTACCATATCTATGTATATGTATTTGCAAATCCAGGTCCTGTTGCAGAGGTTGGAGCAACCACGGGGCTCGTCCTGGAAACAGGAGTGACCAGAGAGCTGTACCTCTTGGCACAGTGCTCCTCCCTTCGGTAGAATTCTTTTCATTGTCTTATCGCAGTACTTGGAACAGCTATAGGAGCTGTAACAGGGGTGACCACAGGACTCATCGTGAGGGTTGGAGAGAGAGCGGCGTCTGACACAAAGCTTGGAGCAACCGCAGGAACCGTAGCAGCAATTGGAGCTGCTGCAGGGTCTGTCCCAGGACTTGGAGAGGCTGCAGCACTGTCAGCAGATCCAGCTCTCTTCCCCTTGAGGGCGCTGAAGAGTGTTGAACACAGCTCAAGAGGTGTGGGCCAGGCCCTGACACACTGCGCTGATTTGTGCTTCTTTAGGATTACCAGGGCGACAGCAGACCTTCCCCAAATATCCTACCAGTTTCTCAGGATTCTGCAGTTGCTCGGAGATGAAGTTCCAAACGCCTGGGAGTGCCCACCACTCCAGGCACCTGCCCAGACCATCCCTCATCCCCTGCCATGCAGAACTCTCCTGACTTGGGGCAGATCTCTTGATGACACTCTTGAATAATTGTTTAATCTGAAACATAACCTGAAACACATTGACAACATGTAGTAATGGAAGCATGCTGGTCTGAACATCCCACGCGTAGACAAAATTCTCAGGAGCTACGGTAACTAGCTTTCCAGCTCCAGGGAAAGAAGGAGAAGTGAAATGGAAGCTAAGGATCTGCTGGAAAGTGTCCTTCCTAATCTCCTCCATAGCTGGGCAGCCTGAGGAGACAAAGTTATCCAACCAGCACAAAGCCCTGTGCTAACTTGCTCTTAAAAGATCTGCTGTTATCTCAGCCATTGCAGCCCCACATCAGGCACCAAATGACTGTGGTGGTTTAAACAAACAGGTGGAGCAGCACCACACAGTGCTTTGTGCACTGCCCCTTCCCAGTGGGATGGAGAGAACTGGGAAAAAACAGAGTAAAATGCCTGGGTTGAAATACAGCTCTTTACTAAGAGGGAGAAAAGGAGATGTGTAATAGTTATGACTTTTATGTACATCCATATAGAATCACAGTATCATAGAATTGCTCAGGTTGGAAAAGACTGGAGTAAAGTGTGTGCAAACCCAGCATAAACTGTGATTAAAACCAGGAGAAAAGTAAGAGTAAACCCGGGGTAATGTGTGAGTAAAACTTGAGTAAAGAGAGAGTAAAACCCAGAAGAAACTGCAAGTAAAACCCTGAGTAAGGAGTGGGCACACACGGAGTGAAGTGTGAGAGCAGCCAGAGAAATGTAAACCCAGAGTAAAGTGTGAGGTAACCCAAAATAACATGTGAGTAAAATCTGAAATAAAGTTGGAGTAAACCTGGAGTAGAGGGTGAGTAAAAGACTGAATGAAGTGTCAATAAACCCTGAGTAAAGTGTGAGCAAAAAGTGGAGTCAAGACTGAGTAAAACCCGAAGTAAGGTATGAGTAAACCTGGAGTAAAGAATGAGTAAACCTGAAGTAAAATAGGAGCATGCCTGGAGTAGAGTGTAAGTAAACCCAAAGTAAAGTGTGAGTAGAGTGTGACTACATCAAGGGTAGAGTGTGAGTAAAACTTGGAGAAAAGTCAGAGTAAAGAAGGAGTATAGTCTCAGTAAACCCAGAGTAAAGTGTGAGGTAACCAGAAGTGTGAGCAAACCCAGAGTGAAGTGTGAATAAATCTTGAAGTAAGGTGTGAGTGCACCTTGGAATAGACTGTGAGTACCCAGTTGTGCAGTGTGAGCAAAACCTGGAGGAAAGCAGGATTAAAGCACGAGTAATTCTTGCATAAACAAAGTAAACTGTGAGTAAAACATGAAGGTAAACTTGAAATGAAGTCTCAGTAAACCTGGAGTAAAGTGTGAGTAAAACCTGGAGTCATGTGTGAATAAAACCCTAATTATGGCGTGAGTATACACCCAGAGTACAGTGTGACTAAAATACAGAGAAAAGTAAGAGTAAACTGGAGTAAAGTGTGAGTAAAACCCAGACAAAGTGTGATTACACCTGGAGTAGAGTGTAAGTACACCTGGAGTAAAGCATGAGAAAACGTGAAGTAAAGTGTGAATAAACCTGAAGTAAAGTGTGTAAACCCAGTGTACAGTATTAGTAAACGTGGACTAAAGTGTGTGTAAGACCTTGTGAGAGGTCTGAGTATACCCAAAGTAAAGAACGAGTAAACCCAGAGTAAATGGAGAGTAAACCCAGAATAAGTAGGAGTAAACCTAGTGTAAAGTATGAGTAAATCCCAGAGGAAGGAGTGAGTAAACCCAGAGTAAAGAATATGTAAACCTTCTTGTAAAGTGTGAGAAAAAAAACAACGTAAAGCATAAGTAATCCCGGAGTAAAGTGTGAGTAAACCCTGAGATAGTTTGCTTTCAGGGTAGGCTTTTTTTTTTTAGCTAGCAACAGTGCAGCTCTTGTGCTGGAAGGCTGTCAGCTTGCAGGCAGGCTGTTGAACAATCAGGGTGGGGCTGGCACTGCCCACTCTTAACCTCGGCACTTGACCCATGGAGATAATCTTTCAGTATCCTCGGGGGAGGCTCGCTTCCGGCCACAGAGCACAGCAGGTTGCTGCTGCCTGCTGAGAAGAGGGAGGGTAAGACTGTGTTTGAGCACAGCCCACGCTGCCTCTACAGTGCTGCAGCTGTGGGTGTGGGAGGTGGGTCAAATGCCGGGGTGTGTAAGTGCTGTCCCTCTTGGCTCAGGAGACAGGCTTTCCTCTTGGCACTCTCTGAGACCACAGACTTCAACAGTGTCTCCACAAGACAGCAGGATTACTGCAGGAAGACTGTGGTGAACCAGACAGAGGGCCTGCCAGAAATGCAGCCGTTCAGGTCTGATGCTGCATGGGGTGCCTGAGCCTGCTGCTGCCGGGGAGGGTGACAGGGCTTCCAGCCGTGAGAGGGGTGAGCAGGTGGACGAGCTGCTCAGCCTGGTGGGGGAGCTGAAGGAGGAGGTGAAAAGACTAAGGGCCATCAGGGAGTGTGAGCAGGAGACTGACTGGTGGAGTGAGTCACTGGCATGCCAGAGGGAAGGGTGCCAGGGAGATACTGCAAGAAAAGTGGTGGACCACCAGCCCTGTCACAGTCAGACAGAGCTGACAGAGCAAGAGGCTTGGAAGTGTGTCCCCACTCGAAGTCTCAGGCGCATCCCCTGCCTGCCTACGCTACTCCCAAACGTCCAGCTAAGCAGCGGGTTTGAGATGCTGGAAATGGAATGGGAGATGAGTGGGGAGGCAATGGAGGATCTGCCTGGGAGGGAGCCTAGGGTGAGGCGGTCGCCCCATGCCTTGAGACTGCCTCTGTCAGGAAGGGCAGGAGGGGAATTGTGGTGGCTGATGCATTTCTCAGGGGAACAAAGAGCCCCATTTGCAGACCTGATCTAACCCTAGGGAGGTGTGCTCCCTCCCTGGGGTCCACATCACGGACAGCACCAGAAAAATCTCGGGTCTGGTTCGCTCCTCTGATTACTAGCCATTCTTCATAGTTCAGGTAGGCACCAATGCAATTGCTCAGGGAAGCCTGTGAGCTATCCAAAAGGATTTCAGGATTTTAGGGCGAATGGCTGAAGGACTGAGTTCGCAAGTGGTATTTTCCTATCCTTCCGGGGTGGTGAGAGATACAGAGATACAGATGCAGAGCGGTCTAGGCTTTGAATAAGTGGCAGAAAGGTTGGTGCTGCCACCGGAACTTTGGGTTCTTTGACCATGGGGAGTACGGAACAGAAAACTCCATGTGAATTGAGAGCAAATTAGAACCGTGCATAGAAACCAAAGGGAAGTGTGAGTGTAACACGGAGAAAAGTGAGAGTAAGTCCAGATTGAAGTGTGAATAAACTCACAGTAAAGTGTGAGAAACACCAGGAGCAAGGTGTGGGAAGACACGGAGGAGAGTCAGTACACCTGGAGTAAGGTGTCAGTAAAATGCATAGAAAAGTTTGTGTAAACCCAGAATAAAGAGTGGTAAAGTTGAAGAAAAGCTTGAGTAAACTCAGTGTAACATGTGAGTCAAACCCACGCAAAAAAAGAAGAGTGAGTAAACCTGGAGTAAAGTGCGAGAAAAATTGGAGTAAAATGTGAGAAATCTTCAAGTAATGTGTTAGTAAACACAGAGTAATGTGTGAGTAAAATCCAGAGTTTTATTGTATCACACACTAAGGTGTGTGAGCTCACCCTAAGCAGATATAGAGAAAACCAGGACTAATGATTGTGCAAGCCTGGGACAAAGTGTGAATAAAACTCGGAGAAAATTGTGAGTAAAGCAGGAGTAAAGTGTGAGCAAACTCAGAGTAAAGTGTGAGCAACAGCCGGAGTAAAGAGAGAGCGTACACACCCAGAGTAGGTTGTCAATAAAACCCGGAGAAAAGTGTGAGTTGACCAGGAGTAAAGTGTGACTAAAGTTGAAGAAAAGTTGGAGTAAACCGTCATAAAGTGTGAGTCAAGCACACTATAGAAAGAAGTGTGGATAAATGCTGAGTAAAGTACGAGAAAACATGGAGTAAAGTGTGAGGCAATCCCAAATAAAGTGTTCGAAAAGCTGGAATAAAGTGTTAGTAAACCAGGAGTAAAATAAAATGTTAGTAAACCTCTGCTGCAGGACATCTCGGACACACCTTCCCAAGGTCCAAATAAAAACCTTCAAGCTCTAAAGGGATCACTTGCAAGGCAAGCACGCACGAGAGAGCACTCTGATATCTCTGTGGGGATGAGCTGCTTGTGCACCGTGTGGGTTTGCACTGTCTTCTGCTCCTGCCACCTCCTGAAACATGGGATGGTACATTCAGGAAGAACAAGCTCAGCTTTTTGTAGCTTTATTGGAGACAAACAAGGCTTGGTGTCACACAGCTGCTCTGACCAGCTGATCAAAGCATTCCACAAGAGCAGTAGAACTAATGTGCAACACATTGGGTTAGGAAGGATGACAGGATTGTGTGAAAGAAATGCCTTCTCCAGAAGCAATCACTGGGCTGGAGGATGCACCAAAACCAAATCCTGATTGCACCTTTCCCTCTCCTCATTCCACGTGCTGACATTTATTTTAGGAACAAAATACAAGACTACAATGTAGAAAGCTTCAGTAAAACTCAGCTGCTTTATTCTCCCCCTCCCCTTTCCACTACAGATGATTCTCAGAAAACCTCCAAGAGCCACGTTACTGCTCTCCTGACCCTTCCCTCAGGTTAATCAGTGCACTCACAAATTACTGAGAGCAATACATGCACACAGACACACAGAACATCCCTGCACTGCCGCTTCTCCTTAGGAAACTGCATCCAAAAGCTGCTGGCAGGAAGAGCAGAAGAGGAAAGCGGGCATGGTGAGAGAACTGCTTTGGGTAGCAAGGAGAGGCCATCTGAAGCTCCTGGGTGTCATGGTTAATCAGTTGAGACATTTGCTGCTGCGTTTCATTCAATTGGTCCGTCACTTTTGAGATAGCGGCTACGGCAGCATGAATGGGGGATAGCAACTGTTGATAGTTTTGGAGCATAAGAATTAATTCATAAATTAAGGGTGTTCTCTGTTGTTCGTTGAATCTGTCACACACTGACATTAGTGTAGCGGCATATTTGTCCGGTGCTGTTGTCACGATTTTCTGCCATATCTCAGGTGTCGTCCTCACTTTTTCAGGGTTGCAGTTTTGGTGTGGGTGGTTAGGAACAAAGTCAGGGTCATACAACATTTCCACCACGCCTATTTCCCTCAAATACTGGATACCCTTTTCAACTGTATCCCATTTTTTCATCGCAATATTCAAGCCATTTTTGAAGGGATACTTTTCCTTCACAGCTATTAACACTCGTTCCCAGAGGGAGGCAGCCTCATCCGAACATCGACTAATTCCTCTATCAATAGCTGGATCTCTAGCAATGGAACCTAGTTGGCGAGCTTCATTACCATCCAGAGACAAGCTATGGGCCCCACTGTCCCAACAGCGAACCAACCAGGAAACAAGTTTCATTCGGGTGCCGTGTAAACTCCTTTCTTGAACCTTGGATTTCAGTCATCTTTAGAGGCCGGTGAGTAGTAATAGAGATTTCCTCTTCATCACTCTCTTCTGCACGTCTCTTAGTTTTCCCTTTTGCCTTTCGCGATGGTGGTGGTTCTGAGGAGGGCCCCTCGCCTGGATCTTCCTCCACCTCCTCCTCCTCTTCTCTTTTTCGTTCAAGACATGAAGACACTCGTTTCCATTTCTTGCCCTCCACAGGAGCAACTGGTATTGTTACTGGTGTCTCCTGTGATTGATTAGATTTGACTTGGGGATTTTCCCCTTTGGCTTGAACCTCAGCTTGGAAACTCTCTCTCTCCAAAATGGTATTATATAGGGCACGGTAAGCACAAGCCAAACCCCAAATCAGTTGTACCTCCTTAGATTTATGTAAGCCGCATAGTCCCTGACTCAAATACTGGCTTAGTTTCTCAGGATCCCACAGGTGTTCAAGAGTAAAATCCCATGACACTGTGGGTCCCCATGCTTCTAAGACCTTTCCCAAACCTCTCCATATTCCCTGCCAATCATCATTCTCTAGTTTCGGAAGAGACTCCTTATTACGAATGCGTTGGAGTACATTCAGGAAAATTAACAACATGCACACCAACATGAGTATTGATGACACACTCACCAACATGAGTATTAATTCAAGATTTGAAAAACGTTTGATAAACTGAGAAGAAAACCCAGAGACTGGTCTGAACATTGTGTTGTTTGTAAAATTAGCTATTCCATTTGGGACGTAGCTGTTTGTGAAATTAGCCATTCCTTCTGGGATGTAGTTGTTTGTGAAATCAGCCATTCCTTCTGGGATGTAAATGTCAAAATTCTAATCATACCACATTGCAAGTAGGTAAAACATAGGTGTCTCCATCAGTGCCATTAGGTACCTATATACGGATAGAATTCCAAAACACGTAAAGTGTGAGATGGACTATTGGCCAGTAGGTTGTGAGTAACACCATTGCTTTAAATCCTTTACCCAGCACCCCCAGGATAACAAGTGGGTTCATCACTGGTGCTTGCTAAAAAGGGGTTAATGAACTGAAGCTAACAAGAGGAGGGGAAAAAAAGGAGAAAAAAAAAAAAAAAGGCACTACCCAGACTAAGTAGTGCTCAAAGTTTACAAATATCCCAGAACACTGGCAGTACACCTAATCTTTCAAGGTCAGGTTTTTCAGCACAGAAACTTGAACTACTGATAATGCACCCTAACGAAGCTCTCTAAGAGCAGAGAGAAAAAGGGATTCGTTCTAAAAGCTAAAAAGCAGTTTGCCCCACGTTGGGCGCCAAAAAAATCTGTCATGGAGTTGACTAGATCAATCTATGTCCGTGACAGGGGCGACAGGCCTCTGCCCTCCCCCCCACCCCAGTCCCACAAAAATGGGAAGGAAGGAAGGGAGGAAAAGAGCAGCGGCAACAATCTATGGAGGAAAACTTATTTTACTATAATATTGGAATACAAGATAACACAATATATACAATTTAATTGAAATTGAGATTAATAAATCAGACAAGATGAGAGAGAGAGTTCCCGGGACCGATTCAAACCTGGAAAGCTTGGAACGGCTAGGAAAGCACCTCCAGCACCCACTGCCAGGCAGCAAGAGAGCGCCCCCCCCACCCAGAAGGGCCAGATCCCGTGACTTCTGTAATGTACAGGGATAGGTACTTGGAATTGGGCATTAACACTTTAATACCCCATACACTACATGATGTTTTGATGTGGAATACTGAAACCCAAAATAAAAACAAACAAACAAACAAACAAAAAACATAGAACCATGACACTGGGTTAAGTCCCTTCTGCAGAGGGTGTCAGTGGTGCCATCTCCTTTCCAAGCTCCTCCTGTGTGGGGAGAAGCATATGGGTGTCCCTCATCCTTGGGCTCGCCAGCATCCACAAGGACTCTTTGCTGCGGGTTTTCCTATGAGAAAGCACGTGTCAGCACAGAGAGAAACTTCCTGCACCAGAGACACTTGCAGGGACACTTTATCACATGGACTGGACAATGTTTAAAAGGATTGAGCTCTGGATGAAGCTCTTCCTGCAGTGCAGGCATTTCTAGGGTCTCTGCACTGAGTGGATCCCCTGGCAAAAGCTCTGCCCACACATGGGACATTTGTAGCACTTCTTCCACGAGTGCCATCTCCTGTGAGTGAGGAGCACTGCGCTCTGCACAAAGCCCTTCTCACACTCGAGGCATTTCTAAGGCTTCCTGCCACGTGAACTCACTGCTGCAGGCATGGATTGGACTTCACCCAATTTTTGCAGACACTCTGGCACCTCAGCAGGTTCGAGATGTGCCCAAAGCTCTTCTTGCAGGCTGCACTGTTGTAGGTGGATCCACTGGTGTGTGATGAGCTCCCAGTTCTGGACAGACATCTTCCTGCAGTGAAGGCACTCACTGGGACTCTCCTCTTGGGTTGGTTCTTTGACATCTTATGAGGGTTAAGCTCCAGATGAAGCTCTTCCCACACAACCTGCAGACAGGATTTCTTCCTTCCTGGTGACATATCAGCCCAGCTGACATATTTGGGTCCTCACCTGCTGCTCCACAGCACAGGAGTTTCTGCAGGGGAGGTAAGAGGTGACTCTCCTTGCACACAGCCCTGGCAGAAACGGGCCACGTGGCAGAGGGTTTCCAGTGGCTGTGACACATCCCACTCTGCAACTGCAGCTGAAGGACAGCAATATGCATAATTCTCAAGCTAAGAAGGAGAAAAAGGATTTAAAGCAGTGCTCTTCCTATACTCAGGGGATTTGTAAAGTTAATCACCACACAGCCTCAGCTGGTGACCAGGCTGGGACTAAGGCTGAAGTTCTTCCCACATTCGGGGCACTGCAGGCTTGTGTGTATCTTGTGTGGCTGTGCTGGTAGGTAACAACTACCAGCAACTACAACTGGAACTGCTTTAGAAAGTTCCCAGAGTCTTGAGATGCTTCTACAGCCTGTGTGTGCTGTGGATGTGCTTGTGGGTGTTAAGACCAGCTCTGTGTTTAAAGCTCTTTTCACACTCTGGACACTGAAAAGGTCTCTCTCCTGTGTGGATGCCCCTGTGGCGCTTCAAGTCAGAATTGATTTTGAAGCTCTTTGCACACTCTGGACACTTGTAGGGTCTCTCTCCTGTGTGGATGCGCTGGTGGCACTTCAAATGAGAACTGCTTTTGAAGCTTTGCCCACACTCAGGACACTGAAAAGGTCTCTCTCCTGTGTGGATGCAACTGTGGCGCTTCAAATCAGAACTGATTGTGAAGCTCTTTGCACACTCTGGACACTGAAAGGGTCTCTCTCCTGTGTGGATGCGCCGGTGGCACTTCAAATGAGAACTGCTTTTGAAGCTTTTCCCACACTCAGGACACTGAAAGGGTCTCTCTCCTGTGTGGATGAGCTGGTGGTACGTGAGGTGGTATCGGCTTTTTACGGTCTTCCCACACTCATAGCAATTGTAGGGTCTCTCTCCAGTGTGGATGCGCTGGTGGCGCTTCAAATCAGAACTGCTTTTGAAGCTTTTCCCACACTCAGGACACTGAAAGGGTCTCTCTCCTCTGTGGAAGCTCTGGTGGTACATGAGGTGGGAACGGCTCTTGAAGCTCTTCCCACACTCAGAGCACCTGTAGGGTCTCTCTCCTGTATGGACACGCTGGTGGACAATGAGGAGGGATCTCCATTTGAAGCTCTTCCCACAATCACAGCACTTGTTTGGGCTCATTGATGAGTGTATGCACTGGTGGTTAACGATGCTGGAATCTTTTTCAAAGCTATTTCCACACTCAGTGCAGGAATTCTGCTTTTTCTGCTGGCTCACATTCTTGCTCCTGGGTTCTTCAGGCTCCTTTTGACCTATGCTGAAGTCCAATGGGCTCCTTCCTGCCTTTCCCAGACCCTTTCCCAGTGGCTCCATGATGTGCTCACCCTGACCTTGCTCCAGGCCTCCTTGGACATCCCTTCTGATTTCTTCCACACAGACACCACCCCACCGCCTTTTGGCCACACCACTTTCCTGCAGGTCCTCCAGTACATCTGTAATCCCAGTTCCTGCTGGATGACAGGAAATCCAGAAATAGCACAGAGTGCCCAAAATAAAATGCAGACAGAGATGGCTCTTCCAGACCCAACCTCCTCCTTCCCTCCACCACCTCACCTGGGCTGAGGTCTCCTGGCACGGCCTCAGGGCTATGCACATCTGGGATCCAGGGCTCTTCCCCTCCTTCAAGCAGGGAGATCAGCACCGGTTTGGGAGCTGGAAGTGGAGCTTCAATGAGAGAAACAGGGGAGATTCCATCATTCTGGCACAGTGCCTGTTCAACAGCTCCACTCTGTGTCCCTCCCCAGGGAGAAATCACAGTTGGGTCCTGAATGACACTGGGCCCAAAGCTTCCTTTGGAGCCAAGAGTCCTTTTACAACTCTGAAAACTCCAAAGGGATATTTTCTTTCAAAATTAACTTGAGAACAGACTATTTTTTGACAAATATTGATGACCAAGGCATCACAATGTCTATGGCAACTGAATGCAAAATCCTAAATTGTAAAGGAGTAAGCAGGGACTCATCTGTTAGCTGGAGCTGGTGGCACGATGTAAAGCACCAATAGAATGGCTGGTTATCTCCCTCCTGATTAACGCCTGTTTGCCAGCACTGACTCTGGGGCGTTTATGAGTCTGCTGTGCATTCTAATCCCACCTGAAATTCACGCTTCTCAGTATTTCCTTTGTTGCTGTTGTAGTTATCAATATGTAACTGCGTGGCGATCATTCAAGGCTCGGCCTGCAGAGGCTCATTCTGCACAGCCAAAGGTGCCTAACGAGGAGGAAAGGCAGCAAAGCCCTCACCCAGCGAGGCCACGCACTGGTACGTCTCCAGCATCACGTCCCGGTACAGCGCTCGCTGCGCAGGGTCCAGCAGCGCCCACTACTCCCTGCTGAAATACACGGCCACCTCCACAAAGCTCACGGGCTCCTGCAAGCAAAGAGGCTCCTTGCTGGGAACAGCCAAGGCCCAGGGAAGCAGCTCAAACCGGACACAAACTCCCGTCCCAGCCGCTTCTCTGGCCCCAGCACACACACGCTGGCTGAGGCCACCTCCCTCTCCCCCTGCATTCACATCCCTCGCCCCTCGGCCTCTCCTGCCTGCTTCCCCCAGCCCCTACCTGAGATGCATGTGCTGTGGCCATCTGCTGCTCTCCTGTAGCTGAGATGATCACGGCTGGAAGGCAGAGTTGAACTGGAGCCTGCAGGGACAAGAGAAATGGCAGGGGAGCTGTGAGGGAACGCAGCAGTCCCTGTCCCAGCCCAGCCCTCCACAGCCCATCTGCAGGGCACTGCCTGGGGGATGGCACAGCAGGCCTTGCACAGGAACACAAGCAGCAACAGCACTGGTAACGCTCTGCCTACAGCTGATCACAAATCACAAAGCTGACTCAGACTGGGTGGCACAAAGAACTGACACCCAGTTCAACAGCTGTGGGTACATGGACTGTGTGCCTAAAGACAATGCATAGCAAGGAGGCAGTCACCTTACCCCTAAACAGGGAGCAGCCCAAGTGCCCCTTGAGCTCTCCTGCACAGCAAAGGGCTGCACAACAAGATCTCCCCACAATCAGGGATGGCTCTCAATGCCACACCCGTACAGAGATCCCACTCGGCTTCATGTCAAGCCACTTTGCTGACACAGATCTTCTGTAAGAGACTCATGGTTAGTTTGGAGCTTCCTGAGCTTCTCTAAGGTGTTTTGTTAGTGATTATCTGAAGGTAATTACAGCACCAGAGAATACCTGGGGTTGAAAACAAACAGCTATGTGCAGAGACACCATCCAGCAGACCAGTCTGCTCTGAGCCCCATTCAGCCTGGCCTCGAACACCCTAAAGCATAGGGCATCCACATCCTCTATGGGCAAACTGTTCTTATCACCCTCTGAGTGAAATACTTTTTCCTGATATGTAAAATAATCTCCGTCTCAAATTAAAACCATTCCCCATGTCCCATCACTATCCACGCTGGTAAACAGCCATTCCCCTCCAGTTTATACGTTTCCTTCAAGTCCTGGAAGGGCACAAGGAGGTCTTGCCGGTGCTTTCTGTTCTCCAAGATAAAAAAAGCTCAAGTCCCTCATTGCAGAAAGATTGCTTTCCCACCAGGGGATGCCGCTTCCCATTCAGCTCCGCACGCACACCGCACTCACTTCAGGGCACAGTTCTCAGCACCGTGCGCCCTTTGCACGAGGCAGCCTGGGCTGCACTTTACTGATGTGCTGCTCGGGCGCGTTCTCAACGTGTGCTCCAGTCAGCCCACACGCTCTCAGCTTTTCAGCCTCTATTACACAGCCCAGTGCCGGGACTGGCGCAGATGCTGGACGTGCTCACGGTCCGCAGCTGAGCGCTAAAGGAATCGGCAGCTGCAGGGACAGCTTGAACAAAAGCCTTGAGAGGGGTTTGCACATCCCCAGGTGAGCCATCAGCCCAGCGCTAAGCGCACAAAAGGTAACGCTACAAAGGGCCGCAAAAGGCAGCTGTTACCTGCTGGGTCCCCGAAGGGGAACTGCGGGCTGCCGGGAAGGGGGAGGAGAGTGGAAATTCCCGCCTTGGATGCTTCACAAAGGAGGCATCGGGGAGTTGAAAAGTTTCCATCAAACAATCCATGCGTGCAGAACTGCAGAGCAAGGTCATCTCGTGTCTCCTGTG